GCACGAGCGAGACACGCCCGCTGGCAAGCTGCACACATCGGTGCGAACCCCCCGCCCGCACTTACCTCACATAGTTTTCGCATTTCTTGGTGAAATTGTCGTAATTTAACTCGATTTGATTCTTCAAACAGGAGCGTGTGGTCGCCATGGCAGCCGCCATATTGTTTGACTGACCAACAAAACCTCGAACTCGGAGATGTTTTGTCTGGATGATTTGTCATACTTTGTCATACATGTGATGCAATGTGACGTCATATTCATCGTTTGTAAGTAGGGGTCTCCCATGAGCAAGACCTGCCGACTCGTACCCGCGGGCGGAGAGCAGACAGCCGAAAAGAGGTACCCTTTCGGCCTCGGCCTATCCTTATTGTTTTTCTGAATTAGACCCAAATTCCTCTTATGTCTAGAAAACCAAAAGATCCTTGCAAGCCGCTTGCCTGTGCTATTCAAGATTGCCTCAAGGGTAAGCTTCTTTTGCTGCTGTGGCAAGCTTACTCGCCCTTGAGGCAGGTTAAAGTCGGATACCGTTTTCTTAGCTATCAATCACGTTTTTAGTTTTATAAAACTTAATTTCCTTCCTATTAATTATTTTGAAGAACTTTCCTTGACCCTCACTATCGGGAACGTTTGTGGTATCCATAGCTAGCGTGGTAAAGTTCACTCACCAGTTTTGTTGATTTTTTTTTGATTTTTTTTTAATCTGCCAGGACACAACTTTCAAGAATCAGCTTGTGAACAAGTAATTGAAAATTTGAGAGAGTGCTGTCGCAAGTGGAAAGACAAGTCATTAGTTTGCTCCGGGATGCTAGAGCGCCCTATTACCACAGAGGAGAGTAATGTCCAATCCAAGGGAGCCCCAGAGTAAGTAAAACTTACATTACATTTGTGTTTAGTTATTTTTACTAGAAATCTTTTAAAAATATTATCATTGTTGTAGCATCAAGATTTGGAAGGTCACCGCATAGGGGACCCGTTAGTACAACAACATTCTTTGATCGACATTATCGATCCCTTCATCACCTAGGGGTTGTGCTGGGAATTTCCATATTTTTTGGTCCGCTTATTTACAAGTACCTTAACAGGCCTACTGTAGATAAAGCGGTCTTTTCACGGGGAGCACCAAGAGTCAACTTTGAAGAACTCCAGAAGAAATTGGATGCTCGTAAGTGATTAAAGATATTTTTACAGAAATTTCGTTCTTCAGTACTTGAAACAGTTTTTTTGTTTCTATTCTTTCAGAATGGAAGTAATCAAGAAGTCTCGCTCTCGATTAAGGCGCTATCCGCAGCTGCTCATTGAGTGTCGCCCAGAAGGCAGTGCATATGCCAATTGTGTAGCCCAAGAAGGTCACATGCAGAAAGGAAGTTGTCAAGTAGAGTTTGAAAAATTCAAGCAATGTCTTGTTAAAGCAGCAGCCAAACTTGGAACTCGAATGTAGGTTTGATGTTTGGCTGCAATGTGCTGACATAATTTAAAAGATTAGAATTAATGTAGAACAAAACTATTAATAAATAAGCTCTAAGTAACCAAAAGCTATCTTCAAAAATATTTCGTTAAAAGAATCCACCAAAATGAAACATCTTTTTATTGGTCTCATTATACGCCTAGCTCTTATATTCTATGGGGAGTTCCATGATCAGAAATTTCAGGTACCATTTACAGATGTAGATTACAAAGTTTTTACAGATGCTGCAAGAAATGTGTTGATGGGTGCGTCACCATATAGTCGGCACACTTACCGGTACTCTCCTATTGTTGCCTATGTTTTAACCCCTAATATCATTGTCCATCAGACTTTTGGCAAAATCCTGTTTTCCATTTTAGATCTTGTTATGGCTTACCTTATTTATAGACTTATGCTAAGGAGAAACGTTTCTCTGAGAAAAGCTCACTTGAGTTCGTTGTTTTGGCTGTACAACCCGCTATCGGTTGTAATATCAACTAGGGGTAATGCTGATACTTTGTCATCATTGCTAGTGGCTGGTACATTACTATGTCTATACGCTGGAAAACCCACAGTGGCAGGTATTGTGCATGGTTTGTGCATTCACATGCGTTTGTATCCAATAGTTTTCAGTCTGCCTTTCTACTTGTCCTTGTCAAGTTGGGACAGATTTTCTCCTTCCAAAGAACCCAAGAAAAGCCAAGTTTCCAGTAAGAGTTTTTCAAACAGTGATGAAGTTCCTAAGGCTGATGGCTCGAGCTGGTACACTGGAAGGAGTTTGTTCAATTTATGGTCAGACTGCAAGGCACTGTTTATTCCAAACAAGTCTCAATTGAAATTAGTGCTCGGATGTGTATCAGCTTTATTGACTGTTACAGTAGTTTTCTATTGGTTGTATGGGTATCACTTTTTGTATGAAAGTATGCTTTTTCATCTCTCTAGAAAAGATATAAGGCACAATTTTTCAGTGTATTTCTACCTGCAATATTTGAGTGCTGGAGCAGTTGTGAGTATATGGCAGAGGGTTCTGATGTTCATCCCACAACTTTTTCTTCTTGTTGCTTTAAGTTTCCGTTATGGACGCATGTTTGATTTGCCGTTTTGCCTTTTGGCTCAAACTATTGTGATAGTCATGTACAACCCTGTTATTACTAGTCAGTATTTTGTTTGGTTTTTGTCACTATTGCCGGCTTGTATTCCAATGTTGGACTTGACCTTAAAACAAGCAGTTTTCCATTCAGTTGTGTGGGTAGTGGCACAACTTGCTTGGTTGTTGCCAGCGTATTGGCTAGAGTTCAGAGGAGAAGATACTTTTGTCTACATTTGGCTTCAGGGCATAGCTTTTTTTTGTGCCAACATTACTTTGCTGGCTCGTTTAATTCAATCTTATAACCCCAAATTGGTTTTGAAAGATGAATGAATGTATTGTTAGTCTCTTTGAAGTTTGCTGTGAATGTCAAATACATGTCATCATGATGTTGTTTCTGATAATCAATTAGTGCTGCATATTATAATGTACCAATACCAATTTAGTTTCAGAGTAAACTTTGCGACACTTGGCTGAATGTAAAGTAGCTCCTATGAGACTGCTGGTAGTCAGCTCAGCCCTCTAAACACAATTAAGTATCTATGATTAGAGTTCTAGAACATATTTGTAACCGTGTAATGCAGGCTGGTTTAAAAAAAATTGTAATTATTCAGCAAAGTGTAATTGAGTATTTATGATCAAGCAGCATTGTGTGGTTAAAACACTGTTGTTTTTGTTTGTGTTTTTAATTTCCATTCTGAGGATACTGAAAAGGATATCTTACCTCACACAATGGTTGTGCCATAAGTTTAGAATTGAGTTGGTTTCAAACATGTAATGTAGAACAGGAGACATAAAAAGCAATAAATTTTCATTACCAAATATTTAAATACGTAACATTATCAAAGATGTGTTAACAAATCCCATTCAGATAAAAATATAAATTGGATATTTATCATCTAACACACTTCAATTGCTAAGTGACAGGCACAATCCTTTGTTTTTGAAAATATATCTATATATTCTTAACTTTTGCTTTAAGATTGGTACACTTATATTTAGGTAATAGAGAAATATCACAAAGTCTTAAATAATATCAAGGTAAATTACCTAGATTTCAAGTAAATCTTACACTAACCCTATTCTTATATAAGAGCAGGTGAAGGAGAACAAAATACCAAAATACCAAATGCAAATAGTAAGCTTAGTCTGATTATTGGCACTACAGCACAAGGCGTGTTGACTTTTTGGCAGGTCCATCATCCCTTTCAGGAGAATTTCCTGTAACAAACACAAAAGGCAATAACAATTGAAGACGCCAAGAACTGCTGAACAATGGACCAGATCGTGCCAATGTGCCATATTACAAGTGTAAAATAAATTACCTCTTTTGAGACCAGAAGGTGGGGCAGAGAGATTTCCCTTGCATTCTTTAGTGTGATTAGCTAATAATTTTTCATTGATGAGCAAATTACATTGGTCACATGCTGATTGGTTCTCTCCATCACTGGATGACAACTCTCCCTTGCCTGTTACTTTGGCTATTTTGTCTGACCCTCCCTTGCTCTGATTTTCATCTAATAGCTTCCTACAAAAAATTAGGGTATGTAAGAAGAGCATCATCATTTCTTGTGTGCATGATGAACAAGAACATTTTTTTAAGCTCATAAAACATATGTGCACGGTTAGACATGTACAGTGCCCCCTCCCAAAGAGGCGCCTATCAACCTTGTGCATTGCACCCAATTACGCCCATTTCAAACATTTTACAATCTGGAAACCAGTTGAGGTTTGACTCTCCTGATGTGTTCCCCTGTGACATCGGGGCTCACTCTATGTGCTTCACGATGGAACAGGCACTCCAACAGTGAAAAACCAGAGTAAAAGCTAGCTGACACCTTAAAGTTACTTATGTATTCTTTATGTTTAGTCAAGGTATCATCTGCTAAAAAGAGACACCTTTCAAAAACACTCGCACTTTTAAAAGAACCGTGACGCACCAGTTTGAGGGGGTGCACTGTACAAGGTTATCAAATCAAAGCAGACATCACACAACAATAACAAGGTCCTAACAACTTTTTCTCTGACCGCAGCATAACAAGTTTTTAACAATTCAAGCTGAACTTTAAACCGTCCTGTTATTAACTCCATAGTTTCAGGGAGTTTCAGGATACAGTGATAGAGGAAATTAATCTCATGAGAGATAGTAAGAAAGCTCCAAAAAAAGCTCCCAGTACAAGCTGATGTGAGCACACTAAATATAATATAAGAGGTACATACTGTACTTACTCCCCTTGCGCACCACCTTGCCAATCGTTGCAACCGCTGCTATGAGCCTGCAATAAAAGAGAATGTAAATATAAACAATTCCAAATTATGTTTAAAATAAATAATGATTAAAATATTTGAATTGTAAGAAGTTATGGGTTGAAAATCACCTCGATTTCTGTAGCAGGAAAGTTTTTAAAACAAATGGGACACTCCCTTCTTTCAACTGCTGCTTCTTCCTAAAAAAAAGCAAAAACAGAGGCCTGTTGTACTGTAATAACTTTACAATGGTAGCACTATTAAAGTTATTTTTCAAGACTTACACTTTGACCATCCTGATGTCTTCCATATAGGGCTCCTGAAGAACTAGGCGAACCAAGAAAGTCTTCTGGGCTTTTACTTTCTCTTGAATTTTTACGCAGCATTGAGGGAGGGTTTCGAGGTTGACTTACTTTGGGTGGATAAAACTTTTGAGTAGGAATATCAGAGGAATTCTCATTATGATTTGAGGTCAACCACCTGTAGGTAAGAGCACCAGAATATCATCCTGATTGCAACACTTAAAACACCAAGTTATAAAAACAAATTTTAAATACCTATTATTGTTTTTGGAATTTGTATCTTCAGACTGGTCAGCAGAAGCACCTCTATTCCTTGCATTGTTACCTGGTGTTGCATGTTCTGATGGTCTTGATATAGCACCTTTCTGGACTCTAGAGGTTTTGCTATGGCGCCCACCTACAATCAAACACAAATGACTGCAATAAACAAACATTATCACCAAAAAAATATTTACACTCAGAGCGCTTCAGGTCATACATACGCTGGGCCGGAGTCTGAGTACCAATTCGAGCGGGCTGTTTGCATTCAACTTCAATGTCACCTTGGTTCTGTTTCCCACCTTTCTTGTTGTTTTTATTTTTGTTTTTACTTGTTGCAGTGTTCCAGTTATCATCTCCAGGGAACTCATAAGGATCATGTAAGCCATGTGAGATGTTGGGTGAATCAGGTGATGCTTCAGAATCACTATCCCCAGTCTTCTTTTTCTAGATAGAATGAAAATGAGGAGCCATTGAGCACTTATGATTGTAACATAGCAAAGTGATAAAGGTCAAATCAAATATTTTCACTTTGAAAGGAACAAACCTGTTCAGTCCTTTCAACTGGCCAAATTTCACCACTACTTCCACTAGGATATTCAACACAGTCATCATCATCAATAAATGTTTCAGGTTTTCTCCTTTGAGGCCTATTTCCAGAGTGATCTTCTTTAAGGTCTCTCTGTTTGAGTCTCCTAAGACTGTGGTATTCTGGCTCAGCCCATTGGGTGGTGCTTTCACTTATCTTTGATATAGCCTGAGTCTTTGACTGACGTTCAGGTCGGTTGCTGACTTTAGACCAAACCAGAGAGAAGAACAGATAAGAAAGACAACATTTTCTTGAACATTTATAGCTACGAAATTAAGAGTAGAGTATTCCACTGTATCTCAACTAAAATTTAAACAGACTTAAGACAGTGAAAAGATCTACATCCTCCTAAACAAAGATTGATCAACAAGGATTAAGTCACAAGTGGTGATGTCAATTAATGCGTTATGAGGAGAATATAATAGTCAATACAGATCTGATAGACACGTTGGTCTCTGCTAGGTTTTAGTTCAAAGCCTGTGGAATATTCTATTACAAAGTAAGGTTTTAAAGTAAAGAGAATTAGCTTCCATACCTTGCTGGTCTGTAGACCTATCACTAAAAAGCTTACTATACGAAGGAGCTTGTTGTTTAAAAAGTGTCTGATTGTTGTAGCCTGTATCAGATACTGGTTGACCCCAGTGAGGGTTTTCTTTCAATAAATTGTCGATGAACGCGTATCTTGCAGTTCGGCAGGCCTCCTTAGCATGCTTCATCCACAGGGTTTTATCGCCTTTAAATTGTTCCAAATCCTTGAGGAATAAGGAAATTGAACAGCTAGGCAATGGCCTAAAACAATATTTTTAAAAAGTGTTATAAAAATTATTGGAAGAGACAGATGTAGGTAAGGGGGAAAACACAAAAAAAATTTGATTTACCTGAGCAAATTCTCCAAAGGACTGACTTGACATGGTCTCTTCCCAACCTGAACTGTTTTTGGAGGTTCCTTAATGTAGTCTTCCCCCACATCTTCAACAGAGGCAGGGGAAGAGGGCTGCAAAGTTAAAATTTCCAATCAGCTTTACAGTTTATTTAATATTTAATAAAAATGGATAGGAGTAAAAAGAAAAAAAGAAAGAAACTGAGCCAAACAGGTAGAATTTAGGAAACTCATGCCTTTTCATTTTTTACTGTGACTCCTCTCTCATCTGGACTTAAAGATTCAACATCAAGCTCTTCTTCTTGTTTTATTTCTTGTTTTATTTCTTCTTCTTTGAGTAAGTTGTCATCTACACTGGCACTTTGTTTTGGGCTCTCTAGCAACATATTTTCAATCTCCTCTGTGCTAGTTGCCTGAGGAGATGAGAGGGGTTGATTTGCAGAAACATTCTTTAAGTTTGACTCAAGGTTCAGAGATTGATCCGGTGGTCTGATGGAGCTCTCAGCATCTTGATGAGAGCCTGAGGTACAGTTTGAGGAAGAGGTAGATTTCTGTCCAGGAGCATTTATTGGCAGAGAAGGGTATTTGTATTTTATTGGTTTAGCTCGACCACGCCCCATATTCCTCTCTGAAGTTGATTTCAAGCCTGTAATGTGATTAATGGCTATAAGACAAAAATCACTGACACAGTATGACTACTAGATTTAAATGAATACAACATGCAACATGCTGCATTTCCCTTCTCCTTTGATGTTGCCGCCTTTGGTTTACAGATAGATTCAAAGTGGAGAGTGCTTTCGTATTTACCCAGGCTCTCCACTTTGCTCCAACAGAAAATCAGAAAGCCTCAACTCTAGCACAGGGACCCATAAGCTCCCTGAAGCACTCATGTTAATATGATAGTAATTTCTTATGACCCCTTTAGAGAAAACATCACTTACTTAATGAGGGGCGGGGCCGGCTTCTTTCCTCTACAACGACTTCATCGACATTCCTAGGAATCGATGTTGATGCTGTGTTGCTGTCCGCTACTTGGCCACATTCAACATCCTGCAAAAATTATTGCAGTTTCTCAAAACATTTAAACTAAAATTAGAGTAACAAACTGATTGCTTTCCTTTATCTTATCCCAAAACTAGAACAAAGAGTCAAAAGTGAAAGTGGAAGATTACATCAAAAATATCAGCAGACTCCACATTTTTAGTTGTTGAGAGTTTTGAGAAGCTGTCTCGAAGTTCATGGTCTGGGCTCGCTTGAGAAGGGGAGGGTTGACCGGAAGTCGATAATCTGAATGACGACTCGTCCTTTGACATCTCAAGAACATTGTAACAAGTTCTTTTATCTTCAATAGACATGTTTTCCTCAAACATGCCAGCATCTAGAGGAAAGAAAATGGAAAATGAAATAACTAAGACATCAATAAATTTTGACAGTTTCGTTCAACCTTCAACCAACAAAACCTTTTAAAGCTGCATCCATCATCATCTCTTCTTTGTCATCAGGACTTCTTCTCCCTTGACGAGTCATCATGTTGTATCCTAGGCGAAACCTGGAGGCAGGGGAACCAATATTTAATTGTGTATACTCAAACATGCGAAATAAAAATTGAATACATTAAAATAATAAACTAGTAATTAAACGCAATAAGTGATGAACGGTAGTTGAGGTTATGACAAATCAATGAGGGCTTGTCTTCAAAATTAGAAATTACAAATAACTTGCTCAGTGTTATTACAGAACAAGAACGGGACATTACTGATATGCCTGTCAGTAAGCATGGTGGATAATACATAAATAAACACGGAAAGGAAGGTACCGGGAGGGGCCGAAGCAGGCCTCTAACCTTTTGCGACTTGTGTTGTCCATGCTTAATATGCGTAATAACAGTAACACGATTATGCAAAAGACTGCAACTAAAGACTGGAAATATACGTTATCGGGTGAAAACATTAGCTACAAGACGCAACATACCTTACAAAATCTGCTAAATAGTCATTTGTTCATTTGTCTCCTTGCTAAACACTCGATTGCGCTGCGCATGCGCCGCACGCATCCTGCTGCGACTCGGAAGGAGGGAGGAGGGGGGGGGGTCTGAAGGTCGAGTACGTAGAAATCCGCGAGCCCCGAAGAGTGGACAGGAAGCGAACGTGGGTCGAATTAAATCTTTTCATGACCACGAGCCCGAGCGTAGACTGAGCCGTCAAAATTAAAGCAAAGAGTCATGAGTCACTCCCCTTTACAGTCTCTACTGCAACTGCACATAACTTCAGATTCACGTGTTCATTCGCGTCACGCAAGGGGAAGTCCCACACAGAGCTTAACGAAACGTCGCAGGGCGGTCGGAAATTGTTACTAATCTTACTCATTGAGAATCGCAGAGGGAAGGGAAAGGGAGGAACAGAGGGTGTATCTCTTTCTCTCTCTCTTCCCTCCATCTCCCTCGTCTCCCTGTCTGCACCTCTCCCCC